TGGGCTGGATGAATGGACTATAAGGTGGATAGACAGCTGGCTAGATTTCGGGCTCAACGGGTAGTGATCAATGGCTCCATGTCTAGTTGGCAGCTGGTATCAAGTGGAGTGCCCCAGGGGTCAGTCCTGGGGCTGGTTTGTTCAATATCTTCATAAATGATCCGGAGGATGGTGTGGATTGCACCCTCAGCAAGTTTGCAGGTGACACTAAACTGGGAGGAGAGGTAGATACACTGGAGGGTAGGGATAGGATACAGAGGGACCTAGACAAATTGGAGGATTGGGCCAAAAGAAATCTGATGAGGTTCAACAAGGACAAGTGCAGAGTCCTGCACTTAGGACGGAAGAATCCCATGCACCGCTACAGACTAGGGACAGAATGGCTCGGCAGCAGTTCTGCAGAAAAGGACCTAGGGGTTACAGTGGACGAGAAGCTGGATATGAGTCAACAGTGTGCCCTTGTTGCCAAGAAGGCCAATGGCATTTTGGGATGTATAGGTAGGGGCATTGCCAGCAGATCGAGGGACGTGATCGTTCCCCTCTATTCGACATTGGTGAGGCCTCATCTGGAGTACTGTGTCCAGTTCTGGGCCCCACACTACAAGAAGGATGTGGGAAAATTGGAAAGAGTCCAGCGGAGGGCAACAAAAATGATTTGGGGACTGGAACACATGACTTACGAGGAGAAGCTGAAGGAACTGGGATTGTTTAGTCTGCGGAAGAGAAGAATGAGAGGGGATTTGATAGCTGCTTTCAACTACCTGAAAGGGGGTTCCAAAGAGGAGGGATCTAGACTGTTCTCAGTGGTAGCTGATGACAGAAGGAGTAATGGTCTCAAGTTGCAGTGGGGGAGGTTTAGGTTGGATATTAGGAAAAACTTTTTCACTAGGAGGGTGGTAAAACACTGGAATCTGTTACCTAGGGAGGTGGTGGAATCTCCTTCCTTAGATATTTTTAAGGTCAGGCTTGACAAAGCCCTGGCTGGGATGATTTAGTTGGGGATTGATCCTGCTTTGAGCAGGGGGTTGGACTAGATGACCTCCAGAGGTCCCTTCCAACCCTGATATTCTATGATTCTATGAAAGATCCCCCTAAGCTTATTTTTATTAGCTTAAGTTAAAAACTTTCCCAAGGCACAAACTTCGCCTTGTCTTTGAACAGTATGCTGCCACCACCTAGTGATTTAGACAAAGAACAGGGAAAGGACCACTTGGAGTTCCAGTTTCCCCAAAATATCCCCCCAAGCCCTTACACCCCCTTTCCTGGGGAGGCTTGAGAATAAACAAGATGAGCACAGACCAGCCTTGGATTTTTAACACCCAAAAACCCCAATCAGATTCTTAAAAAACAGAACTTTATTAGAAGAACAAAAAAAGATAAGAGAACAACTCTGTAAGATCAGAATGGAAGATAATCTTACAGGCAGTCAGATTCAAAACATAGAGAATCCCTCTAGGCAAAACCTTAAGTTACAAAAAGACACAAAAACGGGAATACACATTTCCTCCAGCACAGCAAATTTCACAAGCCAAAACAAAGAAAACCTAATGTATTTTCTAGCTAGATTACTTACTAACTTTACAGGAGTTGAAGGCCTTGCATCCTTGATCTGTTCCCGGCAAAGGTATCACACAGACAGACAAAAGCCTTTCCCCCCCCCTCCAGATTTGAAAGTATCTTGTCCCCTCACTGGTCATTTTGGGTCAGGTGCCAGCCAGGTTATCTGAGGTTCTTAACCCTTTACAGGTAAAAGGATTTTGCCTCTGGCCAGGAGGGATTTTATAGCACTGTATACAGAAAAGTGGTTACCCTTCCCTTTATATTTATGACAACTGATTTTGTTGTTTTTCTTCTACATGAATATTGGTGAGCTAGGACCTCTATTCCTTCCCCGCCCCCCACCCGCAACAGCAGGGAGCGAAACAGGCAGGGAGCCAGGTCTGGCAGCTGAGACCACCCGACCACCGACAGAGAGCAGGTGGTTTCCTAAGGGCTATGTCGTGTGTACCGGGCACCTCCCCCCTTCTGCTGCCCTTTGTTTGTGATTTTTGTTACATTTTCACTCCTTTTAAAAAATTTGGAATAAACACTGGTAAGTTCCTGGCAAATTTTAGACAAAACTAAAAACCAAAAGGGCCTTGTGGCCAGATTTTCAGCTCCTGAGCAAGCTGTTATCAACTCAAGTCTGTCACCAGTCGTCCTTTTTACAAAGGGAGACCTCAATTCCTGACACAAATGATCAAGATTACAATGGAGGATAAATCTTTTTTATATGTTTTTAAAAAAGAAATGGAGAACAGTATTTGAGCAATATTTAAAATAAACCATATGAAATTTCAGACGGATCCTTTCTGATGCCTTCCAAAGTAGACTTATGTTCTGCAAAATGCTTTATCAAACATTCCCAGACAAAGAGACTGATTCATATTCTATTTCCTGGGGCTCTTGTGTTAGAAAAATGATCCCACAGTTGTGGTGTACCTGCTGTAGGTAATTCTGCATTGGCTATCTCTGTGTGAAAGCGGCAATAAGTGTGTTGCTGGTTTATTTTTGTGATCATAAATGCTTTTAAAAATACAATATGTTTACCCTCCACCTATAATAAGCCTGCATTGTACATATTTGATTCTGTTTGAGCTGACAGACCTTGTGTTAACGCTGAGAGAATCTGAATTGTCCTGTCCCTTAAAAACAAACAGGTATAAAGCTGTGTAGCAGAGCCTGTTCAAAGGCTGCAATAAAGAGAATGGACCCTGGCATAAACCAATGGTGGGGTGCACAGTATGGTCCTTCCAGTCAGAAATGTACCTTTTTATTTTGTATGTGGCAACTTGATAATATACTGAGAGACATGCGATAAATTGTTAGTCGCAGCATATGAGAAAATGTTGATAACCCTGTGATGATAAAGATGCATTAAAAAATGGGGAGAAGTGGTGGGTTTTGTTTTGTTTTTTTTTAAACATCTCTGTATTTTTGATGTCGATAAAAGATTTTCATGACATGTCTTGAACCCTGTAATAGCCAAGTCTTGAGCCAAGTCTGATTTTACATTAGCACCCAAAGGTCCTAACCAGGATTGGGGGGCTATTGAGTTCGTCACAGGGCACGTGCCTACAAAAACAAAGTCCCTGCCTTGAAGGGTTAACAGGCTAAGGCCTAGAGTGAACCTCTTACTGTGGAGAACAGGTACTCCCAGGAGTAGTTCCAGTGAAGTCCACAGCTGATGTGTGATGGGTAAGGGAAGAAATTGTATGATTCAGATAAATTATTAAAATGGAGAAGCCAAAGGGCCTGATTTATTTCAGAGGTAGAAATGCAGAGTAATTCCATTGACTCCATTGAAAAAAATATGGCAGTACTCTGGATCTGTGGTCTCCCTCTATACCACACTCACCTCTATGCTTTGGGAATGTTACCGGCATAACAAAAAAACCTGACCTAAAGGTCATTAAAGCCAATGGATTTGGGATTCTTTCCATTGACTCCAGAGGGCTTTGGATTGGGCCTGTAGAACAGATGTGGGACCGAAGCTCTGAGCTCTTTTATATGGGAGTAAGTAAACAGTCCCTGTCTAATGATTAACTGGAGTGAAACTGCTGGTTTTGTACTCCACTGAGTAACAAAGTAAGGGAGATCACAATTCAGATTTGGTTAAAGCGTGGATTCAGTTTTCGCTCTGGAAAAAAACGAAGAGGTCTTTGAGTTTCTCTCAGTAGCTCTATATTAAAAGGTCTGCAATGTTCAGCTGTTCCATCAACCATGAGGATCGAGGTCTGTATTTTTTATGCAACGTCATATCAGTTTATCTCTGAAACACAGCATGCTGTGAGGCATTTTTTGTCTTTGAAATGAGTTGTTGGTTGTCTCCTGTGAGTGTTTAGTTGCAGTGTGCCACCTTCTACTGGTGGGGCTCCGTGATAGTAAATGAAGGCAGAATTTGGCTCAAAATGTTTAATTTCAGGTGCAGGAGTTCTGTGTGGTATGACTGCTAATAAACGTAATTAATAAATGTAACTAGATATTAAATGCTGCAAACAGATAATTTCAAAACTTATTTGTGGATTAGCTGCTAATAGAAATCTCTCTTTTATTGTGATTTATGTATGATAAGAATACGCTTTTTACAGCTTGACGTAAATGTGAATCCAATGTAGTTTCATTGACTCAAATCACTGGAGCTGTGCCGATTTACACAAGCTAAAAATATGGCCCTTAATTGTTAAAGTTCCCAGGTCAAAGTTTGGATGTTTTATTCAAAATCTAACTGTGATCAAGATGTGAATTCTCATTGTGCATTTTGGGAAATATTTTCCAAATTAAATTATTCTTTTTTCTAAGTAACAACAAACAAAAAAAGAGGGTAAAATGATTTGTTAAAACACATGATTCCGTTGGTTAGTAGTGCTGCATTACAATACTGGACGTACTTAAGAGAGAGCGTATTTTCCACTGTCGTTATTAAATGGGGTTACTGGTAGTGGGAAATGAAATCCTAATGGACTCAATGTATTAATTTTCTTTTTTTTCAGAACTACAAGATACTGAGGTTATGCTCTTAGGTCCCAATGAAGCAAAACAGACTTAAACATATGAGAAGTCTCATTAAAGTCAATGGGACAATTCACATGCTTGAGTTTAGGCATGTGCTTAGTTATTTTGCTGAACTTAGTCCTCAGTGTTAAGATTTGATAACTAAGAAGGTCTAGTTTATTGAAGTCCATAGCCTGAAGAATTTTGAGGAGGAAATTGTTCCTCAGTCTCCCATCCACCCAAGAATACTGTGATTTTTAGTAAAAATTAAGAAGCTAAAGTAAACTGCTCTAGAGCCTTATCTGTACTTACTGTCAAATGTATCTATATCTATCTATATATAAAAAGGTAAATGTTACCAACATAACATATTTTAGCTCTGTGGACACAGCCACCAATTCTGTATTCCTTTATGAAAAAAGGTCTTTAAATGTTGTTTTAACGTGATTGTTCCTTGTGTTTTACAGAGAACTTGAGTGAGGACACTGAACTCAAAGATCCATATCTTATTCCAAGAAATATCATGGCTGAACCAGACTACATAGATGAAGAGAACCCTGAACTAATTAGACCTCAGAAACTAATCAATCCTGTGAAATCATCCCGGAATCATCAGGACCTTCACAGAGAGCTCCTTATGAACCAGAAAAGGTGAATTCGACTGAACTTTTACTCCGTAATCAAAGGGCTCGTCTTTATGTACAGCGATACAGCAGCACGGCTGCACCGATGTTGCTGTGCTGCTGTCGTGCTTTGGTGAAGACGCTATTATGCAGATGGGAGAGCTTACCGAGAGGCGGTAGCTTCTCCCATCAACAGCGCTGTCTACAGCAGGGGTGAGCTTGGTATAACTACGTCGTTTGAGGGGGTGGATTTTTCACACCCCATACCAATGTAGTTGTACGGATTTAGGTCTGTAGTGTAGACCTGGCCAAAGTGTCTCACTACCCAAAAACTGACTAATATTTTATGTAGCTTTAAAGATTCAGTGTTGGGAAGACTTAGGGCTTGTCTTCACAGACATTAAATTTGCAGAAAGCTGGGGTGTGAATTGACTCCACACTCGCTTGCTTCCTTGTGTGGACCCTGCTGCTGCACATTAACAGGTCATTAGTTCAGTTTGATGTAGTCACCTTTGAAATGAGACTAGATCAAAGTGAACTAATGACCTGTTAATGCACAGCGGCAGGGTCCACAGGGAACAATGAGTCTGCAGCGGGCTAGTGCAGGGTTCATTCACACCCCAGTTTGCTTCAAACTAAAAGTTTGTGTAGACAAACCCTAAATTACAATTGCTACCCATAGCATTTAATTCTATTTCAGGAGTGTGCTGGATTGAGTTGACTAGTCCTTTTTCCTTGGTAGCTGTATCTTGTGTTCCAGAACCTAATCTTGTGTTTCTTTTTTAAAATATTTATTATTATTATTATTTATTTAATTAATAAATAAATATTGCAGTAGCACCTAAAAACCTCAACCAGGTTGCGTCTTGTTGTGCTAGGTGGTGTGCAAATATGTAGGACAGACTCTGTCCAAAAATATTTCTTAGTCTATGTCTATGCTAGGTACCTTTTTAGTTTGTGCTTACTGCATTCACACTGGGGAGTTACAATGCAGCACACTGGTGTGCGTTGCAATTCACACCCCTGTAGTCTGAACTGTGGGGCCATGTATACAAGCCCTTAGATAATCTTCAGAATCTGAACTGTATATACATTGGGCGGGTCTAGTATAGACCCGCCAAATCGACTGCAGATCGCTCTCCAGTTGACCCCTTTACTCTACCCCCAACAGGAAGAGTAAGGTAAGTTGACAGGAGATTTTCTCCCATCGACCCCCTGCGGTAACTCGACCTAAGGTACCTCGACTCCAGCTACATTATTCACGTAGCTGGAGTTGCGTAGCGTAGGTCGACTTACCATGGTAGACATAGCCATAAACTGATTCACTCTACAAACAGCCTAGAACAATATATTTCTGAGAAAAGTGCAAGCTTGCCCCATTTATCTCAATGGGATGATGACTTGGAACCTAGTGATGGTAATTCATTAGCTGTCTCACGGCTGATCAGAGATCACAGTAAAGAAGAAGCTTGATCATATCATGAAGTGCTGCAAAATCTGCTGTAAATGGCATTTCATTTGGCCTCACAAGTAGGCAGAGTTTGAGTTGTGGGCACGGTTGGAAAAACACTACTGCTGGTTTTTGCCACTTCCAGCCTGACTCTTTATTTATAAAGATACCTTTAGGTCACATTTATTATTGAAGATAAAATTTCTCATCAGTTCTATAGTCTTCTTTACAACTAAGTTAGGTGTATATTTGGCATCTGCTTTCCTGATACATATGTATTACTATACATTATGCAAGTGTTACTTCCTTCATGCTGGTAGATGATACAAAGCATGCTGCTTTGTTTATGTACTGCTTAAGAGCTAAGGACTCAGATCCTGATTCTATTGACATCTGTAGGCCCAGGACTCAGCTCAAAGTTAGCTGGGATTCTGTTTTAAATTAGTCAGCAATGGAGGGGAATAATTTTGAAAAAATTAAAAATAATGCACACAACCAGACTGTAAAATGAGCCAGATTACTTGAAAGAATTGTCAATTTAAATGGTATTAAAGATTTGGCCAATTGGAGATGATATCCCTTTGCCAATACTTTGCTGAGAAACTTGGTATCCTCTTGTGCTGTTCAGTCCATGCTGTGTCAGATTAACTAATGTTTCCAACTTGACTCCCTTCTTTTTCATTGATGTATTAGTAAAATCCCTGGTCTGAGCTTTAACACAGAGATCTGGCAACTGGTATGTTCTTAACGAGGACACTTATTAGCTCTGCAGCCTTGGGCAAATCACCTTTTATGATGAGATTACTGGTTCTGTGGATGAAGGGAAAGCAGTGGATGTATTGTTTCTTGACTTTAGCAAAGCTTTTGACACGGTCTCCCACAGTATTCTTGTCAGCAAGTTAAGGAAGTATGGGCTGGATGAATGCACTACAAGGTGGGTAGAAAGCTGGCTAGATTGTCGGGCTCAACGGGTAGTGATCAATGGCTCCATATCTAGTTGGCAGCCGGTATCAAGTGGAGTACCCCAAGGGTCGGTCCTGGGGCCGGTTTTGTTCAATATCTTCATAAATGATCTGGAGGATGGTGTGGATTGCACTCTCAGCAAATTTGCGGATGATACTAAACTGGGAGGAGTGGTAGATACGCTGGAGGGGAGGGATAGGATACAGAAAGACCTAGACAAATTGGAGGATTGGGCCAAAAGAAATCTGATGAGGTTCAATAAGGATAAGTGCAGGGTCCTGCACTTAGGACGGAAGAACCCAATGCACAGCTACAGACTAGGGACCGAATGGCTAGGCAGCAGTTCTGCGGAAAAGGACCTAGGGGTGACAGTGGACGAGAAGCTGGATATGAGTCAGCAGTGTGCCCTTGTTGCCAAGAAGGCCAATGGCATTTTGGGATGTATAAGTCGGGGCATAGCGAGCAGATCGAGGGACGTGATCGTTCCCCTCTATTCGACATTGGTGAGGCCTCATCTGGAGTACTGTGTCCAGTTTTGGGCCCCACACTTCAAGAAGGATGTGGATAAATTGGAGAGAGTCCAGCGAAGGGCAACAAAAATGATTAGGGGACTGGAACACATGAGTTATGAGGAGAGGCTGAGGGAGCTGGGATTGTTTAGCCTGCAGAAGAGAAGAATGAGGGGGGATTTGATAGCTGCTTTCAACTACCTGAAAGGGGGTTCCAAAGAGGATGGCTCTAGACTGTTCTCAATGGTATCAGATGACAGAACGAGGAGTAATGGTCTCAAGCTGCAGTGGGGGAGGTTTAGATTGGATATTAGGAAAAACTTTTTCACTAAGAGGGTGGTGAAACACTGGAATGCGTTACCTAGGGAGGTGGTAGAATCTCCTTCCTTAGAGGTTTTTAAGGTCAGGCTTGACAAAGCCCTGGCTGGGATGATTTAACTGGGAATTGGTCCTGCTTTGAGCAGGGGGTTGGACTAGATGACCTTCAGGGGTCCCTTCCAACCCTGATATTCTATGATTCTATGAAACCATTTAACCTCAGTTTTCACGTCTGTTAATTGGAAATTATACCTACCGACCTTGCAGGAGTGTTTGTGAAAGTTTCAGTATATTACTCCTGGGGAATTCTTCACCAAAAAATTAAAAATTCTGTGCACAATATTTAAAATTCTACATATTTTATTTGTCAATAAATAAATGTGGATGTTCCAGCATGGCAGTGGGGAGCACAGGCCACTGGCTGCACGGAGGTGGGAGATCACCCTGCAATCTTGCCCCCTTTCCCCCCAACCTCCTCCACCCCGCAACATGGACTTGGCAGTGAGGCTGCATCCGACCCTGATTCAGGGCAAGGGCTGGGCCTGCCCCAGAAATACTCTGGGGCCCTGTCCCTCCATGCCAGACACGCTAAAATAGCAAGCAAGAGGGACAGAGTCTTGGACATATACCCAGCCCGGGCCCCTGATCCAGGTGTGGGGCAGTCAGGCTCAGCCCAGCAAGATCCAAGTGTCGGGTGAGAAGGTTCTGTGTGAGGCAATCTGGATGCGGGCAGCTCAGTGAGGGATCTGGGTATGGAGAGGATCTGTATGCACAGGGGCTCATTGGGGAGTTCCCAGTGCAGGGGGAATGGGACTTTGCAGGGGGGTTCAACTGAAGGTGGTTGGGGCTTGAGAGGGGGTTTGGCGGAGAGGCGTGGGTGTGAGAGGTTCATCATGGGGGTCCAGTTGCTGGGGAAGTGGGGCTTGGTGGGGTCGGGGTCTGAGTGCAGCTGGTTGGGGCTCAGTAGTGTGGGGATCTGTGTGTGGGCGGCTTGTTGGAGTGGTCCAGGTGCAGCGGGGATGGGGGTAGCGAGCTCAACGGGGATGGGTGTCTGGATGCAGGGGTGGGGGCCCAGATGCAAGGGAGGGGGTCCAGGTGCAGGGAGGATGTGGCTCGGCGGGAGTGTCTGGGTGCAGGGGGGCTTTGGTGTGGGGGTTCTCAGTGCAGGGTGAATGAGGCTTGGTTGGGAAGATCTGGGTATGGTGGGATCCGGATGCACAGGAGTTGGACAGTCTGGGACGCAGCTCCCCGTACAGTGACCCCTCCCCCCCTGCAGCTGAGGAGCAATGGGGGCAGAAAGCGGTGGAGGGGATGCGGAGCTTCCTGCAGCTGAGGAAGTTTCTGGGGATAGGTCTGACCCACCACCAGACCCCACCCCAGTCCCAACCACTCCTTCCAGAGAAAAGAAAGTTCTGTTACCCCCTGCTCTGCTTCCCCCGCCCCAGTGATGAATTACCTCTCCGGCAACTTCTCCAGGTGCCTGAAATGACGTGCCTGCATTGCTGGGGAGAAGTGCATGACGGCTTTTGCGGCTTCCCTATGCTTCCATGTCAGAAGTCATTTTTCTGTGGGGAAGCAAAGAAATCTGCAGGGGCCGTGAATTCTGTGCATGCGCAGTTGTGTAGAATTCCCCCAGGAGTAAGTATGTACAAGCAGTTGAAAGGTCATTGCTACTTGGGTCAATAAGAACTACTCGCATGAGTAAAGGTTTGTAGACTTGGACCCCAACTCCTTGAGAGATGAAAAAAGGATTGTTTTTAGTTGTTGTGTCCGAATATACCCCTGCTGTTTCCACAAGCTGTTGTAATAATCTTTGTACATGGTATGCCTTGTGTGGTATCATTTATCATAATTTGCTGATCAAAATTGTCATGGCAAAATGCAGGTAGCAGCGATAGATGTGAAGTTATAAACGTAAGCTGAAATCGTGACTAAAAGAATGTTTTCCAGATCAGTCTGGGGAGTGGCCAAACCACTTCCTTAGAGACCAAGGGTGAGCTGATGCCTCAGCAAGGTGTCGTCAAGGCTAGTGCATCATTACCTGCTAAGTGGCAGTTCACTGGCGGGAAAGGGGACAGGGGCAAAAAAAAAAAAAAAAAAAAAAAGAAGGCTACATCTTAGCAAGAAACAGCATGGAGTTTTTTCTCCACATCTTGCTCCCAGCTGGAAATGTTTTTTCAAGAGGGGAACTGAAACTATAAAAACAGGGGCAAATGCACCAAGACACACACACACCCCGGCCCATTCTCCCTCATTCTCTGCACCTGAAAAGACACAGGAAGCAGCTGTTGGATTCTAGGGGGAGAGGTTCTGAATGCTGAAAGCATGTGGTGAGAAAACTTTGCTTTGAACCTAATATAGTTTGTTAAATTAGGCATCAGTAAGCATTTTATCTTTATTTTTCTTGCAACCATTTTTGACTTTGATGCCTCATTACTTGTACTCACTCAAAAGCTATCTCTTTGTAGTTAATAAACTTGGTTTACTGTTTTATATAATCCAGTGTGTTTAAATTGGAGTGTCTGGGTACTCTATTTAAAATAATAAACAGGTACATTCTTCCCTTTTGGAATAACAGACTTATTATATTTGTACTGTCCAGGAAAGGGCTGGGGAGTACAGGATATTAATTACGGGGAGAAGATCTGGGATGGGGATGGGGTTGGGGTGCGGGGAATCACCCTGCAGCATAACCAAGGCTGGTAAGAGCCACTATGTGGCTGGTTGGCTGCAGTACACATAGACACAGCTGCGAGTGACTTGCATGCAGGAGGCTTTTTGTGAGCAGTCCAGGTTGGAGGCTTCAGGAAACCCCGGTTACAGGGCAGGGCTGACACAGCTACTCATTAGTCAGGATTGTGCCCCAGTATGTCACAGTTATAGATAATCCATGGTCAGGTAAATTGATATGGTTACAGACAGCTAGGATTTTTGTCTGATAATTTGTTCTTCATTCCTGTCTTTGTCAATGACATTCATGGATATGTCAACTCCAGAGGATCTGGAATGGGTTCAAGTAGATTGTTTTAGATTATAGGACTGCTGTGGGTACCATTGCTTGGGGTCTTTGGCCAGTGTTGGCATGACTCTCTGATTATAAAGCTCTTCTACGTTAGAGTATTGTCCAAGTCCCAGCCAAGTTTTGGATTCATATCCTTAGTTTGAGAGTTTTTGAATTCTTTTCTGGGACTGGGAGGAAAGGGGGTAAACACCAAAATCCTTTGGCAGGTTTTAAGCATTCCAATCCCTATATATTTTCCTTTTTGTTTGTAATGAGTAAATATCTCAGTTGGCTTTGCCTGGGAGCATGGATTTTTCTAAAATCAGAAATGTATTCTCACAATTGCAGAAGACTACATGCTTTGGAGTATGGTTTTAAAGTGTGTGTGTGTGTGTGTGTATAATATGTATATATACACACACATGCGTGTGTGTGTGTATATAAACACACATACACACACACTTTAAATAATTTTAATGTTAATTACAAAATGTTACATATATACCCACTATATCAATATAAAATTAGTATGACAAAATGACAGTTTTTTTAATGAGCCCACTCTCTTTTATTGTCCTTGCTCCTTTCTGTCTATATCTGTTTATCAAACTTTCTACGTACAATGTTTATGGCACCCATGTCATATTGACTGAGCACATAATAGTATCTCCCTCACCCTGCAGTGTGTTTGCAAATACAAGGCACAGCTGTTGGATGAATGTCTCAGATGTAGCTATTCCTAAGGTAAGAGATGGGCGGGTGACACAGGAAATTGAAGGGGAACAGGGTAGCTCAGAATTAACTTGTGGTTTCAAATACCATGAACAGCCAAACAGTCTTTATTAGACTGACTGAGACATTTCTCCATGTAGGAGAGACAGGAGTGTCATCGCTTTATGACATCCAAACTGCCTAGATTTCCACGTATTAATCTTCCTGCCTAGTTCTGATTGTTCCTCCTTTTGTATTTAGTGTGATAAGATATTGAGGGGGGACATGAAGAGGGAAGGGTCCTTTTGCGTATCTAATGCTGAAATTCTCCCAAATGCCAGGGGTCAGCTATCTAAAGCTAAATGAATCCTGTACACAGTATAATAGCTCTCCAATGAAATGGATACATTGCACAGAGGCCAAGCGGATTAGAGAAAGTTGGCAGTTTGGTGTGTGTGCGTCCTATTTTGTGTTAATGGGATTAAACATCAAAGACTAACTTCTAGCACCAAAACATTTAAAGGCATTGAGAGACACTTGGAGTTTCCTTTCTTACGCTTTTAATCTAAAGCATGTTTAGGCTGCCCTGAATTAAATCTGCTTTTTCCCTTTAAGGTTTATAAAAGCATAAAGCACCTTAATGTAGTCTGGAATTTTTCTTTTCTTGTGTCGAGGAATATCCTATTACACGAAGAGCTGTGCTGCCCGCAATATCCACACTGCTATAATTGTCATTTTGATTAGCAGCAGTATTTAATTTTAGAACCTCATTTGTTTCTAGTGAAGTGAAGTATGCCTGTGGTGCAGAGTTTTACTAAGAGAGAGAGAGATAGGGGCTGCTACATTTTTAATTCTTTTCTGGGATTGGGAGGAAGGGAGTAAACACCAAAATCCTTTGGCAGGTTTTAAGCAATCAGATCCCTATATCTTTTCCAGGAAGTACTGAAGCTTCTTGTTGGGAATTGGCTACTCTGGTCTCTGGCGCGATCGCAATGTTGTTGCGGAGGTCTGCTCTCTTTTAGCTTCCCATGGAGCTCTGGGTTTCACGTGGGAGCTCTCAATGTTTTCAGTGAAAATGGTTCAACTGTTGACCGTCCCAGCCACCCACATGTAAAACTCCCAAATGTTGAGAAAATGGCAGAAACCGCAATTCCCAAGAGTAATGTGACAAAAAGTCCAGATGGGGAAAAACGTTCAGCTCCACTGTCACAGACGCCTCTGGACAGACCGTTCTATGCAGAGCTGACTGGATAAAATCTGTGTGGTCTGTTGGTTAAAACAGGGAGGCAGGAGTCCCAAGTTCCGTTTCCTAGCTCTGTCCCTGACTTGACATGTGACCATTGTTACATGATTTCCTCTGGAATGGAGGGAGCTCCGTGAAGATTACCGCTGAGAGTGTGAATTAGTCAAGAGGAAAACTGATATGTATATTAAAAGGAGATGTTTTTAGTGGTAATGCGGCGCTCCTCTCTAACTTTTGTTCATTTGTTAGGTTAATACTGTTGCATATTAATACAGAGATATTCATCTTAACCTGAGGGAGACGTGCATACGTTTCTGTGCGAATATACAATTTATTAAAAGCTCTATCTCTGTTTTTTTCCCCAAAGGGGTCTTGCACCTCAGAATAAACCAGAGTTGCAAAAGGTGATGGAGAAAAGGAAACGAGATCAAGTTATTAAACAACAAAAGGAAGAGGAAGCGCAAAAGAAGAAATCAGACCTGGAAATAGAGTTAATGAAACGACAGCAGAAGCTGGAGCAGGTGAGAAAGGCAATGGCGTTAAGAATAGGCGGAGAAGATCACTGGGCTAGAGATTAGAATGGACTGGGATTGATGGGGGAATTACAGGAGCCTTCTGTCTATGTAAGTATTTGTGTGTTCTCTGTGTGCAACTAAACAATCCTTAATGGATTTTATCCTCGCAACATTCCTGTGAGGTAGGGAAGTATTATCCCCATTGTACAGATAGAGAACTGAGACTCAGGATAGGTTAAGGCCTGCCTACCGTAGGAGGATTCATAGCTGTAGTACAGTATATAGACGCAGAACAGAAGTGATTTTGCTGGTATAGTATATATCAGTAAAACAAGTAAAGTAGGCTATACCAGCATATACACTTTTATGCCAGTTTAACTTCATCTACGCTGCGGGTTTTGCTGGCATAGCTATGCTGCAAAAAAAAAATCCCATCCCAAGCCAATATAGCTATGCCAGCAAAACTTTTAAGTGTACACCAAGCCTAAGCAGCTCGCTTAGGGAAGTGCATGACTGAGCCTGGAACTGAACCCAGAGTCCTGACTCTCAGCCCAGTGCTCTATCCACTAGACCATCCTTCCTACCCCTCCCTTAACAAACGTTTGTTTTAAAGGCATGGAATGTTATCGTGTATTCGCTTTTAACACAGCCAAATGCAAGGTCACACATCTAGGAACAAAGAATGTAGGTCACATTTATAAAATGGAGGAATGTCTCCTGGAAAGCCGTGACTCTGAAAAGGACTTAGGGGTCATGGTAGAAAACTAGTTGAACATGAGCTCCTAATGCAGTGATGTAACTAATGGGATTCTTGGATGTATAAACAAGAGTATCTCAAGTAGGAGTAGGAGTGTGGCATTGCTTGTGTATACATTGTAACATGACCATTACTGGAATCCTGTGTCCAGTTCTGGTGCCCACACTTCAAAATGGAATGTTGAAAAATTGGAAAGGTTTAGAAAATAGCTACAAGCGTGATTTGATATCTGGAAAATACGCCTTAAAGTGAGCTGCTCTCATTCTATTTACAGGTTTCAGAGTAGCAGCCGTTTTAGTCTATATCCACAAAAAGAAAAGGAGACTTGTGGCACTTTAGGGACTAACAAATTTATTTGAGCATAAGCTTTCGTGAGCTACAGCTCACTTCATCGGATGTAGCTCGTGAAAGCTTATGCTCAGATAAATTTGTTAGTCTCTAAGGTGCCACAAGTCATTCTATTTAGTTGATCCAAGAAAAGGTTAAGAGGTGATTTAATCATGGTTTACAAGTACCTATATGAGGAAGAGATTTCTGATAGTAGACGGCTCTTTAACCCAGCAAAAAAAGTCATAATGGATGCCGAAGCTAGACAAATTCAGACTAGCAATAAGGTGCCAGTTTTTAACAATGAGTGTGATTAACCTTTGGAACAACATATCTAGGGATGTAGTGGATTCATCATCCATTGCAGTTTTTAAATCAGGTTTGACTCTCTCTTGGGGTGAAATTTCACTCTGATGCAAAGGGCCAGCCAAAGGTCTGTGTGTTCCTTAACGAGGTTTGTTGTTTGCATTAAGACAATCCAACACACACCAACGTGTCTTCAAACAACGAAATAACTTACTCAAAAGCATTATTTTTTTAATTTAAAAAATCCATTTAAATAAAAAAATCAGTTAAAAATTATCATAATTAAAATACAATTAATCCTGCTAATTGTCTAGCTAAATATTAATTAATTATATTCCAAGCCCCATACAAAAAATTTAGAAATTAGAAATTTTGGGGGGTGAGAGATTCTGTTTTTTAAAATCCTCGCCCCCATGAAGAGCCCAGTCTCAAAACAATCACTACTTGGAAGCTCCCTAAAATGTCCTTGATTGGCTCAAGTTAAATCTGGAAAAATAAATCCTGTTGCAACAGGGAAAACCTGCCCATAGCAAATAGTGTTGCGACTCTGCATGTGTGGCAGGAGTGAAGTGACATCAATTGACAAAATAATTCATTGTGGAATGGAGCCATTCTTTATTATAATCAGATGAGTCCCTTGTCACAGAGCCAGAAAAAGGAGAGCTTGTTTGAGTGGTATGTGGTCCCCATTAATCATCAGGAAGACCCTAATATATTCAAATGAACAATTCCTCTCAGGACTGTATTTACTGTTCGCTTTCCGGAGAGTTGCTTCTTCCTGCCTACTGGCTCATAGGTTTGCACTCAGGACTTCCAGAGTAATTGTTGTTCAAAGCAATTCATAAACAGAGCTTCTTTACTAGCACTATATGACCACACCTCATGGTGCACAGTAAGCAACTACATGCCCTAATGTTTTTTGACGGCTGCCATGTATGGGCAGGAACGCCACGTGCTTTAAAAATGTTCGTAATTGGACACTCAAAATGTCTGCAACAGATGGGGTTGGGGGAACTGTTGTTTTACTCTTCTTCCGCTCAAGATAAGCAAAGCAATTGGAGATGTCTCCATTAGATACCTAAATCCATATTGAGATCCTACAACCATGCAGGTTAATAATTCTGATCTCCTGTATTCTTTCTTTGGGCATGATTGTTCTCCTCCTGCACTGAAAGCCAGAGGAGAGGACTTTATTTTTTTTTAAATTGCAAGGAAATTCTCATGGATATCTCCAAAGACTTAATCCCATTGTCCCATCATGTGAGTATGGTTTGCCCCACATGGCAAAGCTATTTCCAAGCTGGGTGGATCTTCCAGGAGAGACTGATTAGAGGATATTGTGTCTCGTCTAAATGCCACTTCACCTCTTTTTGTTAAAGTACGTTCTGGTACTTCTAAGTCTTTGAGGCTAAATTTCCTTTTGTATGAAATCATAGCTTTAATTTTGGCCTGTGACTTTTCATTCGCTGATGCAGGTATTTTATCTTTTTATAAACGTGACTCTCATTTCAGCTGGAACTTGAAAAACAGAAGGTCCAGGAGGAGCAGGAAAATGCACCTGAATTTGTTAAAGTCAAAGGCAACTTGAGGAGGACAGCCCAAGAATCGGCAGAAGCTCCAGACTCATAGAGGAAATACCTGCTAAGACTGTCAACATTCCAGCAGTGGCTGCAGAGAAAGGCTTCTGCAAATTGTCTGACCCCTTTGCCCTTGGGAGGGTAGATATATGGCATCCAGGTGGTGTTTACCGAAGATGGGTTTTGAATTCCTGGAACCTGTGTGGATTAAAAGTCTGCAACATAAACAGATCAAACTCGCCAAACACAGTACTGAGACCTGTTTTCAGGTCAGGATTATTGACATGTCTGAAGTGCTTAATGAGAGTCTTATCAGGGACAGTAGAGAAACCCTTTGAGTGCTGCACTGCTTGGTTTCTTCTGATCCCAGTTTAGTGGAGACATCAAGCTTATATTCTGCTTTTAAATAAAATAAAATCTGTGGTCATATTTTATGGAACTTTGCTGTGTGGGGAAGTTCTCACTTTCTGTCCCTTCAGTCTGTGTAAACTCCATTTTGAAAACGTGGATTCCTCAATTTAATTTTCATGGGGGTTAAATGAGTGGTGTGTCCTGGTCATTGCTGGGCATCTGCACTGGCTGTTACCACTGGGCAAATTGGTGCACAGATATAGGAAAGTTTAAAATTCCAGGGCACTGAAAAAGCTAAAAAAATTTTTAGGACCAAATTCTGTCTTTGGCAGTGCATGTAGAATTTGGCTCTTGGGAGCGCAAAAATTGGAATATTTCCTCTGCTGGGCAAAAATCAAAGGCTGGTTTCCCCTCTCTCCTCAAATGCTTCCCTTGCTCCTCCCCCGCCCCCCCAATAGGGCAATTACACCGTACAGGCCCATGTAGCTCCACTGGTGTACCTTTTTCCTGTCAGCTGTTAGTGGGAAATGATGCATCCTCTAGTTTTTATGTTCTGCTTGGTTTGCTGGCATGGTCTTTCTCCTCTGAGACCTACAGATCTAAACTAAGTGTTAACAGATCAGTAGCATTAAACTCACAGGACTGACTGTGAGCATTTGAACTAGGGGCCTTGCTCAGAGCACCGTGAAGACAATGGGAATGCTGTGCATGGATCAGCTACAGAATCAGGTTTAAATGAGACCAAACTAGTTCTCCAAGGCTACTGATATGAGAAACTTTCCCTAATGTTAGGTAAGCTCTGACTTCTCCCATCTTTTGTCGTCTCATAAGTTGATTCCCTTATTTCATCACTGAGTCTTAGGGCGATATTCTGTCCCCTACACGTAGCCCTGTTGACTTGCCACCGAGTAAGATGGAACTCGGTCTGAGTAAGGGTGACAGAATCTGACCCTTAGTGCTTGTGACTACTACTTTCCCCCTGTCAGGAAAGCCTGGAGTTGGAGAGGAGACTGCTCATGAAGGGTGAGAGCCCCCGCTCGGTTAGGTGTGCACGCTACCAATGCCTTCATGGGAGGGATGTTTATCCACACCCGCTCATCGTTTTTGCCCTAGAGCGCTAAAGAGAAATAAATGCTCCTTTGTAATTACATCTGAGCTAACTGCTTGAGAATATTTTCTCTTAACATCAGGGGTGTGGGGGTGTGTGTGTAACATGCTGTTTTTCTCTCTTGCTTTTCCCAGGGTACTAGAAGTTTCAATACAATTTCAGTATTGGATTTAGGACATAGCATTCACAATTAACAGGGTTTCTTAGGCATATCCTTCAAGTTGTCGAGATCAAACTTTTTTTTTTTTTTTTTTTAAATGAGGACACAATTAGATTAGAAGTAAATTAAATATTGGGAAACTTATTACCATTAACTTAGATTGACAGTGCAGTTCACGTTTAGAAGATTAAATGTTAGAAGTGGTTTACAGAGCCGTTCAGTCTGTGGTCATACAAAACGCAAAGGCAAAATGTAAGACACCACATTTTGTCAACTCTACCATATTGTATTTTTGGGAAACAGGACCGTAACTGCTGCAGTTTTTTTCCCCCTGTGCCTTTCTTGCTTTGGAAGAAGGTCTTCCTTTCTAGCAGCCAGTCATTCAAACACACGCTCTGACTGGATTTGCCTCCTGTCTTCTGTTCAGACAGCCCTATGCTCCAATTTTCTGTGCTGCATCCCCCAGAACAAGGGCAGTTGAAAATACTCCTTTAGAAATCATACCTTGATGCTTAGCCACTGCTGTTTATCTTTCTCACCCACTCCCTGCCTTGTGAACTCCTTCAGGTCTGCTGGATTCCACTTCCACAGGCAGTCTGAAGTCTTCAGAAATTGAAGAGACAACCTCATTTTGCTTGACCAGTACATTGCTTCAGACAAAGCTCAGCCTCTGCCATTTCACCTCAACGTACGTGGCAACCCTACTACTCAAACTCAAATATAAAAGAAATAGGGCCTAATCCAAAGCGTGCTGAAGTCAGTGGAGAAGGCTTCCCATTGACTTCAGTGGACTTTGGCTCAGGCCTTACTGGGAATACTGGATGGACATTTTCCACTTCCCATTCGTGTTGGTGTAACCAGTTGACTTGTGGTTAAAGGTAGAGTTTCTCTTTCTAAAAGATGGAAGGCCTGAATACTTCTTGCATGTACAGTGTGAAGTAGTTTTAAAAAAAAAAAATCCAATTCTGCATTACTAGACTAAATATCAGTAGAATGACGATGTTTTTTGTTTTTTTTTAAATATCTTAGAATTCTGCTGCACTTTTGTCTAGGAACCCAAAAGTCAATTTCATGTGGATTTGGCAGGCAAAACTCTGTTTTATTTAAATCAGGTCCAACATTGGTTGAGATGATGCAGCCCTTAGATAGGTGACCAATTTGTCACACCAGAAATCCTATTAAGTCCAGAGGCTACTTGTGTGAATATCTGCTCACCAATGTGAGGAAAGGGATTTATGATCTGGCCCTTAGTTATGTGAAATTTTAAGCAATCCTCTGTGTTTTCATTGAGCTATCTTCTTGAATTAAAAGTGGCTTGCTTTTACCACTTTCTGACTGTAATAGGGCAAAACTGTTTGTTTGTTTGTTTGTTTGTTTGTTTTAAAAAAAAAAAAACCTTGCTTTTTGTTAGTAAATTTAGGATTTCTTTCTAGCTCTGAAAGCTGACTTTAACCTTCTGTTAATATCTGTACTTGTTTGAGTGTACATATATAAATATATATAAATATAAAATGGGAGCCTTAATAGGTGTGTTTTCATAATTTAATATTTTTTGTATTTGCTCTTGTATAATTGTTTTTAACTAAAGGTATTACAAAAATGATGGCGGAATACTTAGAACCAAAGTTATGCTTAATAAAATCTACTACATGCTTGGAATATGCAACTGTCTCTGTCCTGACCTACTGAAAACGGAGCTTTGAAGCTCTGCTGAAAGTTATCCAGGTCATTTTAAAATTATATTCTGTCTTTCTTTTTGCAAGCAACGATTTCAAGGCCACACTGACTTGATTCCTGTAACTTGCCTCCATATTTATATGCATGTAACATAATGGGCTAATTAGTTTGGCAGAGGCCGCTAAATCTTGCTGTTTTTTGCATCTTATTTTCACTGAGAATTTTTTAAAGACACTTAAAATCCAGGCAGCATGGAGAAGTGATTTAAGAAAGGAAAGGACTGCTAAGCTATTCAGCTAGTACAAGTGAACAAGGGGGTGGAAAGTATTAGGAAAGTTTTTGATGGGATTAAATAATTCCTGGAAGCTATTGTGTATATAATTTTGCTGACCTTATTAAAGCACATGGGGCAAAATTCATTGCAGAAATCAGCTGATTAACAACCAGGCTACATTTGGCCCATTTAAAAAAAAGTATCGAGGAAAAAGCACTGAGCCTGGCCCTGGGCTCAGTTCTGCAATGTGCTCCTGGTCCAGCAAAGCATTTAAGCATATTGATTCCCATGGGGACTACTTGGGTTTAAAGTAAAGCACATGCTTAAATAATCTGCTGGGTTGGGGGTCAGTGTGCTCAGCACCTTCAAGGATTGAGGCCTCTAAGAGCAAGATAACGATCTGTAAAGGCAGACTGGAAAAATACAGAGGGAAGAAGATAGGCCAGGGGAAAATGTGGGTGTACAATTCACTCCTCCCCGCCTAAGTCCTTAAAGAGAATGAAAATGTCAGCCTGGGTGCTAATGGCAGCGTAGTACAGATGGTGATAGGAGATTCAAAGGCCAATAATGGGGTGGAGGTAGGGGAGGAGAAGAGCCGTGAATTCAGACCAGATGTCAGGAAATGCTTTTTTCCTTCAGAAAATACTCAGCATGTGGAATGGATCCTGGCAATGCTGCTGAAGCAGAAACTGGAGCCACTCCAGGAGCCGTCAGATGTGGGGGAGGTAGGAGGGAATGGAGTTCTTTAAAAAGGGATAAGTTTCTATGGCCCGTTAGAAGCATTGCCACTTCCCATCCCCCCAACCCCAAACATATAGAAATGTGTTTCAAATTATCTTCTAGATATTTCATTCCATTTTCAGAAAGAAATAAAACAAAGAGCGTGGGATGTTTGATCTGCTTTTGTATCAAGTCCAGCAAAAACAAAAACAAAATTGTCCTCCTTTGTATGTATGTAGATTGCACCACGTTAAATGGCTTTACACTTACATATCGGTTGTAAGCTCACTACAGGGTGAAAGCCCCTTCAGCTTTGCTCCTGCTGTCGTGTGCAAACTGGTGATGGCATGACATACTGTGTGGGGAGACAGCGTGGTCACTGCAAAGGTTGAGCAGACCATAGATTTTCATCCCTGATTAAAAATTACTTCATTAGACTTGATGCCATAAATCCAACTGATGTAATGATTGCTGACCTGGAGTGGGGAGGAAGCAGACTAGGCAGTGCAACTTTCGATGGGTCAAAACCAGTATAATCAAGGTTGGTAATGGGAGGGCGTCAGATTAGGTGCGATTCCCAAGCAGTCTTACTACTGAGGATCCTCAAAGGCAAGATGTGTCCTATTAGTAGAAAGTCAATATGCCCAGATAATGGACAAGATCTGGAAACCTGAAGATTGTTTGCTTTAAGTTCTTTTCACTTTAACAGCCTTTCATCTGAGGAGATCAAGACTTGCCAGCCCCCCCGTGATGCAGGTAGGGGGAATGTGGGGGAACTGTGGCACAGAGAAGGGGAGAGAATTGTCTGAGGTCATGCAAAAGTATGTAGGAGCAATGCTAACAAAACAGGGAACTCATGATCTCCATTACCATGGTCCAGCCACTGGACCATGCTCCCTTCCCCAAATTTTTGCCATTGCTTTAGGCCAAGTTAAAAGCCAGGGGTGTCTTACAGGGATGGGAATGCAAAGAGTAGACAATAAACCACTGGTGAGGTTTGTGATGGGTTCCCCCAGGGGTGTCACTGAGCCCTCTGACCCACCAGCCTGAGCTCACACGGTGCTGCTGTGACAAGCTGCAAAGCCCTCCAGCGTGCACTTTCACCAGCGTTAACACAGGGACACACCCAGCTAAAGTTACACACAGGCTCTTTAACTAGCAGCTTCCCAGCCTAGGACCCCAGAGCAGTACTGTCCTGCCCTGGTCAAATCTGGCCAGTATATGGGTTTAATACCCAGTCTGCCTCTCCTTCAAAGTGAAGAGAACAATGCACACTTGTAAGCAAGCAGAGATTTTCCCCAAGCACTCCAGTCAAAGCTCACTGGTTTAGATTAAAACAAAACAAGCTTATTAACTATAAAAAATAGATTAAGTGATAGCAAACAGATCAAAGCAGATTACCTAGCAAATAAACAACAAATGCAAACTAAGCTTAATAAACTAAATAGATTAGATCTGAATAGGCAGATTCTCACCCTGAGAAATGATACAAGCAGATTCTTAAGGGGAAAGCTACACTTGCTTTACAGCTTGGAATCTCCAGGTCTTCCATACACAGGCTAGAAATCCCTTTAGCCTGGGCTCAGCACTTCCCCCCTTTCAGTCTTTGTTCCTCAGGTGTTTCCAGGAGTCGTCTTGTGTGGGGAGTGAAGAATCCCGTATGATGGCACTCCGTGCCCCATAGAGCTTTAGCATATGGTGGAAACCCTTTGTTTCAAAGCTTGGTTCTCAGACCAGTTTGTGGAGAAATACTGGCATCTCAAGGTGGAGTCCAGCGTCATGTGGCCTGGTCACATGTCCTTGTAGTGTCATAGCAGCCATTATTTACAGGCTGTCTGTAGCGTTCTCAGGAAGGCTCACTTCTATGGCCTACTATTTTTCCTAATGGCCCATTACCCTGAATAGGCCCTTCCACACCCACTATCTAGATGGAAAGCATCTTGTCTAGTGGGCATTACCCTGGTGCGACTACATTTAAAGTACAGATACAAAGTCAGCATTTATAACTTTAGATACAAAAATAATACACGCATACCAATAGGATAATCCTATTCAGCAAATCATAATCTTTCCAATGACCCCTTACACAACCCATCTTGCATAAAATGCAACATAATTATTCCATAATCATATCATCATATCACTGCGAAGAATATGGTGTGCAGTGTCACAGGGCTGGCCATGCTTTAGAAACCGTCAGGGATTGAACTCGCATACATTAGCGATGGGTCATTCTAAGAACCTGGGCGTAGGTAGATAGGAAACTATGCTGCCTGTGACACTTGTATGTGAGTGACAGGGAGGAGGACTCCCCAAGCCTATAGATGGGCTTCATCTGCTCCATTAAAATCAATAGCAGCAAGATCAAGCCCTTAAAAGCCTTTCAGTATGACATTGCCTCACAGACTGACTAGTTTACAAGCAGCTTTCGGAGCCAGCCTGAGGGGCAGACTATATAGGCCATCTTGGGGGCTGATGTGGTAGGAGAAGCTCCAGCCAGACTAACCCACCACCAGGTGGGACAGCATTAGAGTGGGGAGCCTCTCCACTGCACCGGCTGGCAGCAGCAGCCTTGCTTTGGCCTTATTAGAGTTGGTTCTGGGAGCGCCAGTCAGGAGCGGTTCTACCCAGAAGCCATGTCAAGTAGATGTGTCACTTTGACATGTGAGTTTAGGGACAGTGGCTTTGTCATAGGGCAGGCATGCCTGGAGCACACTTCTATGGCTGGCAGGGGCACAATAAGTGGGCCTATCTCTGGTTCCCTCCTTCAGAGTCCTCAGGAATAGTCCGAACAGTCTGAGTACAAATATAGCCCTTGTGGGGTTCATTATAAACATCCCCTGCACATAAACCATAAGAAAACAAGTCCCAGTACCAAGCCCCACAGCCATAACCTATACAGTACATCAAATAAAGCCCTTGCAGGCCTGCCCTGTCTCTCCCAGCTCCCAAGAACCAGCAGGCAGCTCCCCCTGCTCCTCTCTCAGCCTTCAGCCCTCTCTAGCCTTCTCTGGCCCTGGCTTTCTGTCTTAGGAAGGATAGCTAGCTGTCTCCTCCACTGGTTTCCTAGCCGTAAGCCCTTCTTTAGCTTCCTGGTGTTGGCTTTGGCTCTTTCATAGATTCCTAGGCCAGAAGGGACCATTGTGATCAGCTGGTCTGACCTCCTGTATAGAGGGGCCATAGAACTGCCACAGAATAACTCCTAGGGCAGATCTTTCAGAAAAAACATCCGCTTTTGATTTAAAAATAGTCAGTGATAAAGAACCCACCATGACCCCTTGGTAAATTGTTCCAATGGTTAACTGCTCTCACTGTTAAAAATGTACACCCTCTGGAAGCTCAGCAGGCTAGCACCTCCGCTGGCTTCCTGCAAAGTCCCCCTCTTTCCTTTCCTTTCCTTTCCAGATTGTTTTCTGCAGCTTGTCCAAGATGCCTCCCTGTGACAGTCAGCCCTAACTCACTGGGCCTCTCTTCCTCTAAAATTCTCCCTGGACTTTTATAACCCTCCACACCAGGCTGGCCCAACCAAACTGGGAGCTCCTGTTCTGGCACCAGAGGCTGAACCTGCTTCATTGACAGAGGCCAACCACCCAGTGAGAAGCTTCCTTTCAGCCATGAGTCTGCACTGGAGAGAGGTGCTCTGACTACAACCTTAGGAAAAGCAGGGACCCGAACAGAGGTGGCCTAGCATGCAGAAGCTTTGAGC